CAATGTGGGGGCCACGCTGGATCACACTGAGATAACGGGCCAGTAATTAGCAGAGCTGTCTTCGCGTCAGGAGAGTCATAAAATGTGTTATTTACACCCAGCTTGTGGCCCCAAATGCCCTCCATATGGAATGACTTTTTAAATACTTCACTTCCCAGACAATATCATTCATCTCTGTGTGCTCAAGTTCACGGTCGTTAGCAGGAGGGAAACATCCACCGAGAGCATGTTGGGAAATGAACTCTGCAACTCTGGGTGGGGGAGTGTCCTGGGGCTAGTCGTGGGAGGGGGCCGGGTGCCCATCCAGGGCGGGAAGAAGCGTGCGTATGTCTTTAGGTGCAAAAATAAAAAATAAAAATAAAAAAACAAACAGAGAAACTTAAACAAATTGAAAGAACAGACAGAATCTGGCTTGGGATTCCCTTCTTATCAAATGTAGCTGGATTCCCAGAAAATAGGAGAAAGAAGACATCACCACCAAAAAGAAACCAGGAGAAAGAAGGAAAAAGGGAAGACAGAGGAGAGATCATGCTTCAGGGCTATTTATGGAGCAGGCGAGAAGCCCGGTGGGAGTGACTTCCTGGAGTTTTTTCAATCAGACATGATCGTACCCATTTCACAGACAGGGTAAGAGAACCCGCTCCATGGGGCTAAGTTCTGATGAGAAAATCTTGCTTTTAAAAAAGACAATGAGGGGCTGGGGATGTGGCTCAAGTGGTAGTGCGCTTGCCTGGCATGCGTGAGCCACTGGGTTTGATCCTCAGCACCACATTAAAAAAAATAAAAGATATTAAAAAAAAACACAATGAACAAAAAGACTTGATTCCAGAACCTGAGGGTACTGAACTTTCTCTCCGCCCACTCCACCAGTGGCCTCTGAACGAGGTCATGGGGACCCTGCCCCAGGGAGACTCCAAGCCAGCCCTAAGCTGGAGGGGGTCATAGAAGCAGAGAGAGCTCATTATTCAACTTTCAAGAATTTTGCAAGCTTGTTGTGAAACACAGCTATTATCAAAGATCAAATGACGGAAAGTGACCATTGCACAAACCGTATTTTTAAAAAAAGCGCTGTACTCATGCTTCCTGATCATTTTACCAGCATTTGACTATTGCCTATGTTTTTGGAGTTCACTGAGTGGATTTTATCCTTACAGCAGGAACGGTCTATATGGGTGAGCCACTGCGCCCGCCTTCCTGCCTTTGCATCCAGTGACGTCATCTAGGTCAGCCTGAAATCCGCCCTGGTGGGGAGATTTACACCACAGGTATGGGCACACACCGGGAGCCAGGAGTCCTCGTGCCCTGGGGAGCCTGTAGCTGGGAATGCACCAGCGCAGCTCTGCCCCCGCTGTTTTCGGGTGGCCTGGTGGAGTCCTCTCCAGTCCACATTCACTTTTTGAACCACTGATGGGTTCTATTTTCCTTTCAAAGGAAATCAAGTGCTACAGAGCGGGGCTGGGATCCCTCGGAACTATCCCCTCGTCTGATTCAGATCTCACATTTTTTCATTTTTCCCCCTTTAAAGGTGGAAAATATACCCCAAAGTCACAGCAAATAAATAATTCATGGGCCATATATAATTGATGCCGGGTTTAACAGAAGGAGCGCCGTAAGTGGTTGTCTATTAACTATTTATGAGTTTGCCTGGGCGGCTGACAAGCCACGCTCGGCAAGGAGATCACACCCGTGCTCCCATGTTTTATTTAAACATTATTAAAAGTACACAGCCTGCAGAGAGGCCTTCAATTCCACCCAGAATGAGATCCGCTGTGAAGTTGCCCTGGGTCTCAGGAAGGCTGGGCTGGGCTTTGCTAGGAATGCTGCTGTCATTGCTCTGTGTATTTCGGGGTGCAGTCTCCTCCTTCTCCCACTGAGGACTTTCAGCCCTCTCGCTGACTGTCGGGTGACCCGGGATTCATCGCTTCCCCTCCCTGAGCCTCAGTTTGATCATCTGTGAAATGAGCAATACCATAGCTGTGCCTTTACAGTTCCTATGAGGATTACAGGCCAGTGGTTCTTAGCAGGAGGTGATTTTGCCCCTTGGGACATTTGCCATTTGGAGACATTTTGGATGTGGATGACTGGGGCAGAAGAGCTATCCGCATCTAGGAGACAGGGATGCTGATAAATATCTCAGTGTGCCCAGAAGAGTGTCCAACAACAGAGAATTATCTGATCCCAAACATCAATAATGCCGAGGCCAAGAAAATCTAGGTTGCAGAATCAAAAGCGATATCGACTGTATGGTTAGTTTTTTAAAGTACTTGAGTGAGTAAAGATCATATGCCTAAAATGTCTGAGTCAGTGGATTTGAGTAGGTCAGACCTGAGTTCAGATTCTGACTCTTTGACACTTAGTGGGAATGCAACTTTGGGAATGCAAAGCAGTGGAGATACTGCTTTGCCTTCTGGCTTTCAGTCATCTGATTGGTAAAACAGGGATAATCACCTCCAAGGATGAGAATCATGTAAAATACTTAGCTCCGTGCCCGGCATACAGTAAGTGGTGAACAAATGCCACCACCTGTTATCATCCTCACTGTCAGCTCCATGCGCACCGTGTGGGATGTGCGAGTGGAGAGGGTGCCCTCACCATCAAGTCTGGGTGGAAGGAGAAAGTCACGGGGAACGAGTTCATTCAGTCTCCACAGACACGCAACAAGACAGCTGTGTGACGCCGCCCTCGGCTTTACAGGTGGGGAAACCGACGTTCTCCAATACGAAGGCCGCTATCTGAGGTCTCAGGCTCCTAGCTCCATGTTTTTCCTACCATCCCATAGTGGGTTCAGTAGGGTCCCCATACAATCCATATTCCCTGGGAACCACAGAACGGGACGTTTCTGGAAACAGGAGCCATCTTAACTTGCAAAAGTTAAGATGAGGCCTTACAGGGCTAGGGTGGGACCTGAATCCAATGACTGGAGGCCTCATAAAAAGAGGAGGGACGCTCAGGGACACAGAGTGGGGGAGAAGGACACATCAGGGCAGAGGCAGAGACAGGAGAGATGCAGCCACCAGCCAAGCAGCACGTGGGGCCACTAGGAGTTGGGAGAGAAGGGAGGAGTCTCCCTTAGAGCCTGCAGAGGGGGCGTGGCCCTGAGGACACCTTGGTTTCAGACTTCCAGTCCCCCCAACTGGGGTATGACCAACCTCTCTTGTTTTAAGACTTCTGGTTCCGGTGATTTGTTATAGCAGGCCTAGGAGACCAAAACCCACCTTCTCCTAAGACAAGTAAAATTGTAAAATTAGTTCTGTGAAGCAAGGAAGGGGGGCAGGGCAGAGAGGAGGAAGGTGATTAGCAATCTGCAGGAGGTGAAGAACCCGGGATGAGAAAGAAGGAAGAGAGGAGAGGAAGGGTGGGGTGAAGAATCTGTGTCTGTAGCCCTACATTCAGTTTATCTCTGACTTCCTGAAGATGTGAATCTATCCTAGAGCTGCCAGCCCAGCACACAGCAGACATTCACTACACACCTCTGGAGGTCAGCAGGAGGTGTCTTAGTTTTCTGCTGCTCTAAGCAAAATCCCTGAGACTGGGTACTTCACAATGTACAGAAATTTACGTGGTTCCTGTTCTAAGAAGTTGAGATGTCTGACTGAGATCACGGGGCCAGCATCCACAGAGGCTGCATCATCCCATGGTAGAAGGCAGAAGGGCAAGAGAGTGAGGGAACGAGAGGGGATATATTCACTTGTATTTTGGCAACCCATTCTGGCAATAACTGACTTTAATGATAATGACACAAATCCATCCTGGAACTAGTCACCTCCCAACACTGTTGTATTGGGGAAGTTTCCAGCACGTCAACTTTGGGGCACACACTCAAGCCATGGCAGGTGACAACGAAGAACATGATTCAAGAACTGCTCCCCCTAAGCTACATTAGCTTCATCATTTAAGGGGCCCAGCATACATGTAAAATACCCCTTTAAAAAATATTTGCAAAATCTATGATTCTCTCTCCATATGCCATTCGACAATGAGTTTGTAACATTATTTCCTTTTGAGAGAACAAAAAGAAAATTCTTCCCCCTGGCAAAACGATTAGACTCCCCCACCCCAAAGCTTGTTATTAAAGGTTTAAAAGCCTAACAAATTTATTTCAGGAAGAACTGAAACAAAAATGGAGTTGAGCTTCTGTTACAGGGTGTATCCTCTAAACACAGGAATTCTGATAAAGCTATTTAGTTTGATTATCATCAGAACAAATTTATCACGGTGCTTTCAAAAGAAAGAAAGAAAGAAACTCAAATGATACATGCTCTGCAGTCCTGCCCAGGCCTCTCGGTTGCACTTGACCACTTGCTCCTGATATCAGTTGTTTTAGGGACATGGGCACCATGTCCTCCTCCTCAAGGGCACAGCTCCCGTCCCGTCCCCGTCTGCATCTCCCGTAAGATCGGGCGCAGGCCCAGACACGCAGGAGGATGCAAACCCACGTTCGGGGTCTGACGGGTCCTGTCCTGGAGATGCATTTTTTGAGCTGTTCTCTTCAGAGATAAGTTTTCCAAACGCGGAGGGAACTGTTCAGCAGTCACTGGCTGAGCTTCTGCTCGATGCCTGACCCTGACACGAGGCGGGAGGCCCAGAGGCTAACCCCATCCCTTCCCCAGGGGCCGTCGGGGAGGACAAGGCGGCAGGAGTGGTAATGAACCCGTGAGGACCCGAGGGTGGCGTGGGCACCGGGGGGCGCAGGGACACCAGGAGGGGCTCGCCGACCCCTGATCTGGGCCTGGAGGGTGGAGGCGACAGGCAGGGGCTGCAGGAACGAGGCCAAGGAACACAGGGCGTTGGGTCCCCGAGGTGCCCTCATGCATGCGCAGAACATGCAGGGCGGTGCAAGGCGGGAACCAACGGGTAGAAAAATCTAGAGACTGAATTTCAGTAGGAGTCTGGGCTTTGTTGTAAAGGCAACAGGGCGCCTGTGGAGATTTCCTAGCAAAGGAGTAACACAGTAAAATGGATTCCTTCTGGAAAGTTCTTCTGTGGGGAGGGGGCCAGCGTGGAGGAGGGGCCAGCGTGGAGGAGGGGCGGTGAGACTCTAAGAAGTAACCGTGGAAGCCCAGATCAGAAGGGAAGCTGCCTAGGTAGACAGGACGCCAGGAGGGGACAGATGGGGAAGACACCTACGCAGGGTAAAATCAGCTCTTCTGTCTGGGGACTTGTGAGCGGCTCTAGGGAAGGTGGAAACTAGAGAACCAGCAAGACGGGACCCACAGGTGCAGCCTCCTCCCCGGGGGCTCCGGGCCTCCCACCTGCACCAGCCTCCTCCTCCCCTGGACGCACCCTTGCCCGCCCTGTCCTGGGGCCGAGCCAGCTGCCCTGAGCTCCTCACCGCTGTAGACAACACGGAGGAGCCGCCTCCTCCCCCAGGGACAAAGAGACTTGACTGATTTAGAGTCAGAATATTCCTTCCTCTGTAATGGCTCCTGGAGTCGCCAGGAATAGTACATTTACTAAAATTAATGGCAAAACCTCATTTTTCTTTCTTTTTTCTTTTTTCCGGGAAGCCAGGTTCCATCCGTGGGGTAATTGATGCTGATCTGGAGGAGCTGGTGAGCGGCCGGGGGCATCCATCATCCACAGGACACAACGCACAGCCCTTTAAGCCAACACCAACAGTGACAAATGGCACAGGCTGGGGACAGGCGGAAAGGATGTGGACAGGAGATCCATCAACTTCCTCCTTGGGTCTCACCAGGGCCCAGAGGCCCAGATCCCTTTTTGGTCTCCCACAGCAGAGTCATTTTTCAGCAGGACTGGGTTGAAAGGCCAATGTGGGGGGCACCGTGACAGTTTAGTGATGGACACCCAGGGAGGCTGATCCCAGGTCTGCCACCCTGACCCTGTAGCCCTGGGTGACTTTACACTGCCCTCGGTTCCTTCTCTACCTTCTACAGTTGATGTAAAATGTCAAAGACAGTGTGCGCCACGGGCCTGGGCAGGAGCGACTCAATGAGTGTTTGTTGAGGGAGTGAATAAATGCGTATCTGGGCTGCACAGTTAGGAAATGTCTTTGCCCCTTCCAGGGAGACTTGAATTAAAAAAAGGAGGAGGAGGAGGCAGAGAAGGTAACCCTTTACCCTAAGAAATGGATCTGAGCAGGGTGTGGTGGTGCATGCCTATAATCCCAGCAGCTGAGGAGGCTGAGGCAGGAGGATCGTGAGTTCTAAGCCAGCCTCCGCAACAGTGAGGACCTAGGCAACTCAGTGAGGCCCTGTCTAAATAAAATATGAAATAGGGCTGAGGATGAGGCTCAGTGGTCGAGGGCCCCTGAGTTCAATCCTCAGTACTTCCCTCAAAAAAAAAAAAAGAAAGGAAAAAAAGAAGGAATAGATTTGGGGTGGTGACAGTGGGCATGGGGGAGAGATTCCACACCAGCTGGTTTTCCAAGAATTTCCCAAATCACAGTGCACAGCTTCCAGTTCTGCCTGCGAAAGCTGAGTTCCCATTACAGAGGAAGCTCTTATTGGTATGAGGTTCACTAGCAATGGCCTGGATTTGATCTTCCCGTGGAGTTCCATATCACCCACACACAGGCTGTTCTTTGTGGGGTCCCCAACATCCACCACAGGGCTTGACCCATAGTAAAAATTAGGGCTTCATATGCATGAAGAAAAGAACCAGAACTCTTGACTTCCCAGCTGGGTTTTGGTGAGGTTTGTAAGAGTCTATGTGTCACCAAGAAGCTGCTGAGAACGGGGGAAGGTCAGTGGGTGGCGTGGGCGTGGACGTGCACGTGAACCTGAATGGATGGTGCTGCACTTCCAAGAATCGAGAATGCCAGGCCTCTGGGGGAGGCCTTGGCGACAAGAATGGTCTTCAAATGACATCGACCATTTAACTTCCACCAAACCTTGTCTGTCCGTATTGCACGTGCACGTCTACACTGCAAGCACCTTAGGATTCCCACCCCTGCTCCAATGCCTATCCTAGGCCACGCCCATAATTGGTGCCCAGTAGACATAGGTGGAATGGACTCACTAACGAGACAAGCAAGCAGGACCTTCTTTCCTCCCAGCCGTAATTTTCCAGGGCCTAAAGGACATCCTTGAGGCAAACAGGTTGGTGAGTTGGTGACATCCACCGTCAGGAAGAAGCTGCTAGCATGACATCGTCCCTTTGACCCCTGTTCTCCCCCAGCACATCAGGGAAACCACAGCACGTGCTAGTGCCTTTAGGGTACCAACAGTGCACGCCTTCCTCTCCTGGAGCAAGTTCAAGGGCGATCTCCCATGAGATATGTCCACCCAGGATCTGTGAATAAGAGTTTATTCCAAAAAGGGCTGTTTTGTAGCTATCATTCCAGTAAGGACCTCCCGACGAGAGCAACCTCAATTTAGGTTGCACCCTAAATCCAATTACAGCTGCCCTTATAGGGGCATGGTGGAAGGATATTTGAGACTCATGTACTCAGAGGGGAAGGTCGTGTGAAGGCAGAGAGTGGGGCCGTGCTACCTGGAGCTGAGAGAACCCGGGGAGGGCAAGGTACAGTCCCCTCTGGAGCCTGTGCAGTGAGGGTAGTACCCGCCAACACGCAGTTTCAGACTGTGGCCTCCAGAACTACGCAAGAATGTACATCTGTCACTTTATGCCAGTTTGTGGTCATCTCTTAGGACACTCAGGGGAACCTAATGTAACCCCTGACCACAGGCGCATAGAAATAGAGAAGCCAGCCTCCATCAGCTTACCCAGAGTCTTACAATCAGAAAGCGGAGAAAGAAGCAGTTCTATGCGCAAATGCTTTGTGTCTTAAGGTTTGTTTTGCTTCTGTTTTGAATCACAGGTGGGGTGTGCATTGGCTCAGCTTGGTTTACTACACTGTGCAGGTGGCCTTATTCACCATGAAGGTTGCTGTCCACCCCGCAAGGACCATAGTCCATTGTACAGATGATCATGAGCATTTTTAGTCATAAAGCATTTTTAAGTAAGGCATCTACCTTTTTTTAGATACAATGCTATTATATTTTTTAGGGTGGGTACCAGGGCAGGGATTGATCTCAAGGGTACTCGACCACTGAGCCCTATACCCAACCCTGTTTTGTATTTTATTTAGAGACAGGGTCTCACTGAGTTGCTTAGCACCTTCCAGTTACTGAGGCTGGCTTTGAACTCAGGATCCTCCTGCCTCAGCCTCCCAAGCTGCTGGGATTACTGGCCTGCACCACCACACCTGGCTGCATATTAATCTACTATGATGTAGTATAAACATAACCTAGATGCACTGAGAAACCAAAAAGCTCATGTGCCTTCATTGCAATATTGAATTTATGGCAATGATCTGGAACCCAGCAGCAACATCTGCGAGAGGTACATCTGCAGAATCTCAGTATTTTAGGGGTTTTGAAGATCTGAATATGTTCTCAGACATGGGGAGAGGGAGGAGAGGAAGAAAATAGGGATGAGGAGGACAGCGAAAGGGATGGGGGAAGGGAGGGGAGAAAGAGAAAAAGACCTCCAGGGACAGGGAAAGAAAACCACTATTTGATCTGCCTTGCCTGCGTGCCTGGCTAGTTAAAGAAGACATCAGAAGAGAAAGGCTGCCTGTTCTCTCCTCCCAGCCACAGCTTGCAGGAGGGGGACTGGCTGCATCAGAAGCAGGACTGTTAATGAGGAAGTTACCCTGTCAATTGGAGGAAAGAGCCTTTCTGTCTCCCATGGCCAGGGCGGTGGAGGACCTGCCAGTCATGGGCCTGCACTGTGTCTGGGAACTCAGTCTCTCTGTCCAGCACCTTGTCTGCCCCACCCCCAAGCCAACAAAAGCCAGGCAGCTGGCTTGTGAAGGGTAAGCTGAAGGGGACAACTGGCTGTGGGGGACAGTGACCCAGGAAACACATTTGCTGTAGAAGGACTAGTTCCTGCCACAATGATGGCACTTAGAGACCTCTGGGACCAACACTGAGGAGGTCATAGGTGGTACTGGCGATGGCTCTGGGGTGCTAGGCAAAAGGATGCCAGATACTCCTTCCCCACCTCCCCTGCCCATCACAAGAAGCATAAATAAGGTGGCTTAGAGATGTCTGTCCTCAAAGGGAAAAGACAAGAGCAGACACTCAGATGGTCTCCGATTCCTGTTCTTAAAACAAAACACACTGAGTGACACAGAAACCATCCCACCCGGCAGAGAACAAATCTTAAAATGTTCTTCGGATCACACTGGGGTCAAAGCTTTGGTTCACACTGGGGTCAAAGCACGACCTAGTGGCTAAAATCATACACTACAGAGTTGGGCTGACTTGGATTCAAATCTATGTTCACGTGTGACCTTGGGCAAGTGAACGCGCCACTCTGAGCTTTTATTTGGCAAGTTGATGTCCCTGTGCCTCAGTTACCCATCTTCGTGTCGTTAAACATAATGGCACCTACGTTAGGATTCAGATAGGAACTGATAGGATTCAGACAAGGAACGTTTCACCCAGCATGCAGCAAATGATTAATACATGGTGGCTTTTATCATTATTCCTATATTTTATATCTGTCGTTACTGTTAATAGCTCAGAAATAACTTCACATTTACCAGATGAGGCCCGAGACTGTTATCTCACCTCTTTGAAGCCTCAGTTTCCTCATTTGTAAAATGGGGGTAGAAATTCTGACCCCACAGGGTTGTTGGAGGAGTACAAGGCACAAAGGACGCTAAGACACAGCAAAAGACCCACATTGAAAACGCGGGTTCCCTCCCCTTTGCGCCAGGGCGCCCCGTCCAGGAAAGCTTTGGACTGAGTGCGCCTGCGCTTTAGGGCCCTCCAGCAGCACAAATGCCATTGGTCCGCTTTGGCCACACCCTCATGGTTTGTAGCCAATGGCAGCGCCTTTCCCAGCCCATCCCCCTCCTGTTTCTCCAAGTGGGTCCCAAAGGTCCAGGAGGCAAGCCCTTAGGTCTCCAGGAGGAAGGCCTTCCCTGTCCCAGCAAAGGAGGGCTCTGGGGAGCCCAAACCCTCAGTCATCGAAGGGCCAGTGTGGCGACATGACTCACCAGCTCCATGCACCTCCTGCTGGCCTCCGCCTCCCGCTGCACCAGCTCCTCCATGTCTGCCTTCAGCTCCTCCAGGCGCCGCTGGTAGTACTGGCTGCTCTCCCGCTGCTTGGACTCCGAGGCCTGGGCCTGCGACAGGTCCTCGCCCATCTTGATCAGGCTGTCCCGGAGTCTGATCACCAGGACCTGGGAGGGAGGGGCAGAGAGCACATCCCTGCTTGGAGCCAGAGGTGCGCGTCTTAGAGCAAGAGGCTTCAGGAACCAGAATCCTTTACTGAGTCTGAGTGTTTGCCTAGAGTCATCAGGAGAATCCTGATTTCTGAATCAAAAATGAGGAATTTCCTTTGAAAACAGAAAATGGTAACTGCTATTCTGAGAGGCAGTGAAACACTGATGCCCTTGATGCTCTGGGTTTGAATCCCTCTGCTACCTCTTCCTGGCTGTGTGACCTTGGGCAGATTACTGAACCTTTCTGAGAGATAATGATGATTTTCCCCCTGTGTTGCTGGGATCCAGCTCATAAAGTGAAGAAGGCTTAGCCAATGCCTGGCACAGAGGGTGTGCTGGACAAGGGTTGGAAAGGTTGAGAAGGGTCGATGTTTACGGCAGCCCTCCTTCAGCCTAAGTTCTGGGAGGTGGACTGGTGCTTTGAAGAGAGAACTATCCTGGGGGGTCCAAATCCCTTCTGAATTGTGGGTTTTGGATTCTAGATTTATAAAACAAGTGCCTTTGATCGGGTTGTCTTTGATGAGCCTCAGCCCTAATATGGATATTTTTACGTTTCTGGGGACAAAACTCGAAGATGACAAAATAAAACAATAGAGAAAAAAGTGCTTTGGGCATCCGGAGTGCTACAGAAAACAAATCCAAAAGCTGTTCTGCAGAATTCATTAGGCGGCCAACAAGCCTGGAACCAATCGATCCTGATGGGCAAACACACCGTGTTGACATAAGCAGGGCCCCGCATGAATATTTCAAGCCCCTGCTGAGAGCTCTGAGCCCCTTCTCCAGAGCCACAGATGGGGGATAACAGGCTTCAGAGCAGACACCGAATAACAGCCTGAAGGGGAGCTTCGTCCTCCAGCTCCTCTTCATCTTTCAAAGGGAGTTTAGCAGCAATTTCAGAGAGCAGCAAGGGGTGTGCACGGAACAGTGGTTCTCAAAATGTGTCCCCAGGGTCCGCCCTGTCTCTCTGCAGCAGGGACCTGGGGTTCTGCTCCATTCAAATAACGATGGCGGTGGTCGGGGATGAGCTTGGACACCACTGGACCAGGGTGTTGGTTTTTTGGCTCTTACTTGACTGTATTTGAATTTTAAAACAGATAACAGTGCAACATGGTGCAGGTCATCATGTAACTCACAGCCCATCGAAGTTTCATGATGATCCGCAGAGACAATTGCACCTTGAGGGATCCCTTGAGCCATTTGGAGAACCACTGAGGGTCAAGGCCAAGAAAAATGTCTGTCTCCACCCTCGGCAGCCTTATTAGAGCCTGGATTCCCCTAGGGGAATGGGGAGTGGGGAAAATGTTTCAGGATGAGGAGTGCAGCTGGGCTCTGTGAGGATGATGCTCTGTCCCACCCCAGGGAGCCGGCCCAGGGTGGGGTGAAGGTCAGCTGTCAATCTACGCCCTCCCGGACTCTCTGGTCACTTGCCCTTTCTGGCCTGTTCTTCCTCTTTGGACGAGGCCTATTCTGGCTGCCCCCCAGGGCAGCATCCGGCAGACTGGCTGAAGTGAGAGTATTTCCACAATGGTGATGTCCTCTGCAAGGGTCCCGTGTCCTTGGCCTACAGAGCCATTCATTTCCCCACCCATTTCCATCTCTTTATCTTCATCTCCATCACTGCTCCATCTACCCATCCCCGCTTCTAATTTTTCTTCCCCTCCCTTTTACTCTAGAAGGCAAACACACACCTGAGCTCTCGGCCCAAGGTCAACGTGAAGGTCATCAGTGAACCCCGTCCCAGACCATCACGTTTTTGCCTGCATTTCAAGGTCCAGCATCAATGCCGTCTCCTCCTGGAAGTCTCCCCGATTCTCCAGCTTTTCTTTTTAGAAAAGATCCCTGTTCTCTCAACCTCACAGCCTCCTCCCCGGAATACAGGTCACCCTGGGCATCTCCTGCAGAGCTCTAGGCTCCCCACGTCCATCCCCTGGGCACCCAACACAGGAGGGAGCACTCCTTGGGTGCAAGATGAGTTCTGTTCAGGGGGAGTGTTGGGCAGGTAAGTGGATGAGGGCATGGGAAGAACCGAGTCAGTGAATAGAAAGGTGGGCAGCAGAGGAGTTGGGGTCTGAATAAAAGAGAAGAGCGAGCAGAGGAAATAAAAATGGCGGGAGGTGGACGACAGACCGTGATGATGGGTGGAGATGGGTGGGTGGATGGCCAGGTCGGTGGTGGGAATGGACAGAGAAGAAAAGGGAGGGGAGGGGAGAGGAGGTGGTTCTGTCATGTCTGTCCAGCCCAGGCTCCTGAGCAGCTAGCCGGGTGTGGGGGTGGCTGGGCTCCCTCCAAGCCCCAGCGGCTCAGGCCCGAGCCCTGCTGACATGTCCCCAGTACCTCAAGTCTCTTAATCTGCACTTTCTGAAACTCCGTCTTGTTCTCCAAGTCGCAGATGGCTGCCTCCTGCCTGCTGACAATCGCGCGGTCCACGGTGGACTGCTCCAGGTACTGGACGCGCATCTCCGCCACCTGCAGCTGAGGCACAGAGGGATCCACTGGTCACCTGTCGGCCCCAAGTCCCAGGACACAGGTACGCGCAGGTCCCAGCCCTGGGGCCCACCTCCTTCTTTACTCAAGTGCCACACGGGGAATGACTACGAGTTAGAACCCCTGGGTCCCGATCAGAGGGCCCCTGGTGACACCCCTGGGTGTCAGGTGCTGGGAGGAGATGCTTTCTGTGACTTCAGAACCCAAACAAGACCTTGGTTCAGTCTTTCTTATGCTTCCTCCCCTGGTGTAATAAGGGAGTGAAACTAGTCCACAAGCAACAAGATTCAGCCCTGGCCCCGCCATTTTCCAGCTGGGTGAACCCCTGGCCATCTAGTGCCCTTCTTTGAACCTCAGTCTCTTCATCTTCACTGTGGGGACTGAGCATTCGTTCAGTGAGTACCAGCTGGTGGCTAGTGCAGCTACAATTTTTGTTGTGCTTGTTGCTACTCCAGTGCCCAGGGACATCTGCTTGAAACCTGGTCACCCTGCTGGTCACTCTAAGCAGGAACATGCAATGGTTCCGGAAGGACTTTGAAAATCTCGTGGAGAGAGCAACCCACCAGGTAACGACAGAGAGCAGGGGACTCTGGAGGGATCACGATGGGCCGTGGCCCTGTCTTGCACTGACCAACCCCTTCCCCGTGGAGCCATTTCTCAGCAGGACAGAATCCCGTATGAAAATCTGGTGAATGCGCCTCATTGTGTGCAGCATCTTGGGAAAAGGGATATGAGTGTGTGCCTGTGTCTGTCTGTCTCCTGGATTGTTCTCAAGTCCCTGGCCCACAACTGGAGGGAGTGAGGAAACGAATCAGTCCATGAATCAGTGAGTGGCCGGCCCAGGGGTGGAGCCCGGGGACCCTGCCCTCCTGCCCAACATGGCGGCTCCCGTCACACACTTGTTCCTGAAGCTTGTGCTTCTCCTTCTTGGTTTCCTCCAGCTCCTGCTGTAGCTCTTGGATCTGACCAATGTCCGCAGCCGACTGGTGAGACACAAATAAAACGTGGCCGTGAGGCCCTGGGGCTTCCTGGGCACCCAGCCCCGAGAATCCCTTCCCCCATCCACAGAGGCGCCATCGCCACTGCCCCACAGTCACCTCTCACATCCGCCCCCACCCTTCATCTCAGGGTCCCCCGAGTCCTCCAGTTGTCTCAGCCTGAGCTTTGGCCCACTGTCCGGGACGTTAAGATTCACCCCAGGGAGCCCAGACGGGAATGAGCCGGCCCCGGCCTGAGGAGCAGACCCCCAGGGACAGGGCCGGGTGACGGGAAGCTGGACCTGGACATGGCCTTGGCAAGCCAGGGCCCTCTGCACCTCAGTCTCCTCCTCTGTGAGATGGGGTGATAGCGTGTCTCTGGGCTCTCGGAGGTTAAAGGAGGTGGTGGAGAATAAAGACCCTTTAAAAGGACAGCCGGGGACTGAGCTGAGGACCTCCAAGGAGAGGGATTCCTGAGGCCAAGACAGCTCTTCACTGCCGCGAAAATAATGTAGATTTATTACCTAAATGATCTGTAATGGGAATATGCAGGAGCTGCTATCGAAATTGAACAAATAAACTTCCATTTTAGACAAAAGTGAGTGATTCATCGACACAGAGGATGCTGTGGTTGCTAAACTCTTGGAGACAGCACTGAGAATTTTTTCTTTCTTTCTCTCTTTCTTTCTTTCTTTCTTCTTTGGTACCAGGGATTGAACTCAGGGGCCCTCGATCACGGAGCCCCGTCCCCAGCCCTGTTCTGTGTTTTATTTAGAGACAGGGTCTCACTGAGCTGCTCAGGGCCTCGCTGTGGCTGAGGCTGGCTTTCTGCCTCAGCCTCCTGAGCCGCTGAGGTGACAGGTGTGCACACTGAATATTTTTGTTATTCCTGCTTAGCGGAGAGCTTCTTAGAGCAAAACCTGGGTGGTGCTCTCCCCTGCTCTCCTCTGGAGGGATGTGGGAGCAGGATGCCCACTGCTGTGGGAGGAGCTGTTCCTCAGTTGTGCAGATCAGAATCTGCAGGGGATTCCTCCCCACACCCCTCACCCCAAGCTCCTGTGTTGCTCTCTGCTGCTGCTGTGTCTCCTGAGTGGCTCCTGAGTCCAGTGCTCCTGGCCACCCCACTTGCCTGGTACAAGCCACAGTGGCCTCTCCCCTGGACAGCAGCTTTCACTCCTTCAGTGGCTACTTACTTAACCTGTTCCCTGCCAGGCACTGTTCTGAGCTCAGCTGGATACAGGGCTGGACAAGGCGGAGCACAGCCCTGTCCCTGTGGAGCTGACAGTTGCGGTGACACCCTATCAGGTTCTCTCCAACTGCACTTGCCCCTAAAATGTTTGCCAATGATCTTCATCACCCCCCAAATAAGGCCCAAACATCACACCTCTGAGTCCCTTACTGGCCCTCCCCTCCTGGCCTGCGGAGCTTACCTGGGCCACGTTCCAGAACTCGCGGGCCACCTTACATCTCCTCAAATGCTCACCACAGGCCCTTTGCATGCGTTATTCACTCTGCCTAGAACATTGCCCACACCCCACTGTCCCATCCCAATCTCATCATCCAAGTGCCACCTCCTCAGGGTGACCCCCTGAGGCCCACCTAGGTCAGGATTCATAGAACCATGTTTACTTCCTTTCTAGATTCTCTGCTTGGTTTAAAAGTCTCCCCTCGGCTCTGGGTGATTATATGGTACAGTCTGTCCAGCCCACAAAACTGGGAACGACACATGGTGTGCCTCATGGTGCCTAACCCAGAACCAATGCTCAGTGAATATTAGATAGGCAGGTGGACAGACAGACAGACAGAGAGACAGACAATAGCTGATAGTTAGACAGGTAGGTGAACGGGTAAGTGGGAGGAAGGGTGGATGGATGAAGGGAAGGGTGGATGGAGGGATGGAGGGATGGAGGGATGATCAGGCAGGTGGATGGATGGGTGACTGGGTGGGCAGATGGAGGGACAGGTGGGTAGGTGGATGACAGAATGGGTGTGTTATGTGAGGTGTCCCTCCAAAGTTCACGTGAGCCAATGCCAGAGGGTCAGAGGAGACATGATTGGGTGTGGAGTCTTGACCCAGGGAACCAGTCCCTGATGGGATAGCCGAGTGGAAACTGGAGGAGGTGGGGAGGCTGGAGGGGGTGGCGTTGGGGTGTGACTCTTGGGTGTGAATTTGGTATCTGGAGGGTGGAGTCTCTCTGCCTCCCCGTCCCCACGTGAGCTGCTGTCCTGGGCCACCCTCTCCCTCCACGAAGTCCTGCCTCACCTGGAGCCGAGGAGTGGAACCTGCTGTCTCTGGACAGAGGCCTCTGAACCACGAGCCCTCAATGAACCTTTCCTCCTCTACATTGTTCTGGCCGGGACTTTTAGTCACAGCAGTGACTACAACAGGGTGGACGGGAAAATGGACAGATGGGTGGATACCGGGTGGCCAGGTGCACGACGGATGGGTGGACAGAGGGGTGGGGAGCGGGCAGATGTGACCCAGCGGAACGCCTCCTGGTGGAGGTCCTCCAGGGGTGCGCGCACTGCACAG